TGTTGCTTACAAGGAAAGGATGGTAGGTCGAAGTGGCCGTATAAAATGAGATGTATACCACCTGATGCGTCTCTAGACGCTGATTCCAAATCTGCCTTCCAAATCTGCTAAACGGCTCTCCGAACGGAGTTATGAAGCGTAATAGCTCAGTGGTGATGGTCCGGGGTGGCAGGTAAAAGCTCGTAGGATCGGTTCCTTTGCAAGTTTGTTGCTTTGCTTTTGTCCGCAACACTTCTAGAGACAAAAGCAAAGCAACAACTTGCAAAGGAACCGATCCTACGAGCTTTTACCTGCCACCCCGGACCATCACCACTGAGCTATTACGCTTCATAACTCCGTTCGGAGAGTCGTTTAGCAGATTTGGAAGGCAGATTTGGAATCAGCGTCTGGAGACGCATCAGGAGGTATACATTTCATTTCAAACGGCCACTTCGACCTACCATCCTTTCCCTTGTAGGAGTACAATTTTCCGAGAGTTTCACGTTTGCCTCACCCTGCTTTAGACCCGCGGTTTTTTCTGCTAATTTCCCCCAAAGGAACCGTGTACGAAAACGACGATTGTGTGTAATGACTCTATCTTCTTCATAAATGAGGGGGTTGAGGCACGTATGTCAAGATAAGAACGAAAAGAGCGAAAAAATGTGTTTGTTCTGACAAACAATCTCAAAAACTAAGAAAACTGTTGGTTCGTTCAATTTCCGCTATTGGAATGTTGTCGTGGGTTTTCTTCTTGGCCTCCTCTTTTATGGCAAGAACATGTCCCTCTTCTATTGGTACTTTTATTTATCACTTTTTTTCTACTCTCCTATTTCGGAAGATGTGTTGAGTCAAATTCCTCCTACGATTAGCCGACCCAGTACGTACTCATACGTCGGTTACAAGGCTTCTGCCAACCAAAGGGTAAAAAAAAAAAAACATCAAACTGAGTGTAGATGGAAATGCATACGCTTTGTGAGGTATTAGGACTATGGCTCCTGGAGGAAATGAATAAAGCAGAGATGTTGTGATAGTGTGCATGGGTGAGAGCTCCAAGACAGTCTTACAAAACGCTTAACTGTCTAGCCTCACTGTTGACAGTGTTTGGTCTTTAGAAATTTTTCTCTTTTCATGCATGAAATTTTGTACATTGCAACTGCTGATCTCATGTGATGCATTTATGCGTAAAATGAATACAACAAATTCCTTTACACGATTCCTTTATTATTCTCGTAATATTGGTGGTGCAATTGCCGTCCGAATACCTGTACATGTATCGCCGGGCTTTTCTTCAAATTTTACCTCAGAACGGTGGGACACTTTTAGGGAAGAGAATCCCGACAAAATCATGTCTCTCTTGTGTGCTCTCTTATGATGCAAGCTTGAAGTATTTCGACTTCCTGGCTCTTCTAACACGTAACTTTTTCAGAGGTATGATAATCAAGAAGCACTTCGATGAATCGGAAGAGATTGTAGTCTCAAACACATTCCACTCCATGATTTTCAAAACAACTGGTAGTGATAGATGATAGCGCTGATGACTTTTTAAGGGTGCGTCTTAGGTTAGTGTAAAACTGTTCCTGCACTCTGCAAACTGTTCCCTTCCCAAACGTACTACAGTAGCATTCCTCCGAATAGCGTCGTTCCCATTTTGAAGGTCATTGTTCATGACGGGAAGGCAGCCGCAATTGATAGTGTTTTATATCATTCCAGCTGACCATCGGTTTGAGAAATACTCCAATGAAAGAGTTGACAGATTCTAGAGGCTTGCATAGGCGCAAATTGGCTGCCGTTTTAGCGAATGAGCGATATATTTCTAACTCAAAGAGAGTGATCACAATGAGTGAAGGTCGGTGCGATTTTGATGACGTCTTGAACGTCTTTGGCGGAAGGGCTAAAAGGTGGTTCCAACCACATGCTCAGCGCCATGAGGGGTCTTGTCGACATTACGTCACGACATTCGTGACGCTCGAGGGCGTTATCAAACCGAACCGTCCTCCATCCATCGTAATCACTGCCTAACCATTACCTGTTGGAAGTGGGATGATGACAAGTGGCACCGTTACCACAGTTGTTGTTAGGGAAAGAGACCCTGAATCTAATTTCCAAGCATGCTTTCAGTCCTTTCAGGCAAATATAGCCCAATGTCGGGATTGTCTGGGAAGGTGAAAACAGAATAAACAAACCTGCACATCAATTAGCCTTACAAGCAGGATCAGCCAGTTATTTGAAAATTGGAATCCTAAAAAGTTTCTCTCCCCTCCGTAGAAGATTGTCCTATGACCCCTTTCCTGTTTCATGCTATAATATCTTGATACTGTTTGCCGTTTTGGATAGTCTGGGGTCAAATCAAAGTCCGTCGGTAGGGGATGGTTGAACATTCTCTATCTCATATCTTTTAGAAAGCAGTTTTACCAGTTGCTAGCCCCCCTTTCACTTCTTACCCCCTCTACGGAGCAAAAGATATGTAAGACTTTCCGGAGTTTACCCAACGAATGCTTGACTGATTGCGACTCACTCAAAAAACCGTGTATCAAATTCAAATCAAACCAAATAAATAAATAAATCAGTGGCTATTCACGCCAATCACTGCATTACTGTATCATAACAATGTTTACTTTCCCGAGCCCATTTCAAAGACTGATAATCGCCATTCGAGCGAAATTGTGTCATTGCTGATTGGGATGTGGCCAAGCAGTCACGCCATTTCTCTCATCTGTCTCACTCTGTTTCGTGATAGACAAGCCCTACGCCTGCAGAATTCCAAGTGGTCTATTAAATAGAACCAGTGTGGAAATATCAGAAGAAAGTAGCCAAAATGCAAAAAAAAATTGAAATAAAAATATTGTGGGTTATGGTAGGTGAAAAAAACCAAGAAGAGTCGACCGTTCGAAGGGTCAACGCGGGATGACGTTTATTTCGCATTCACGATTTTAGGGAGTGGGTCATATTCGGGCTGAAAGGAAAAAATCAAATTAAAAGAAAAAATTCGAAGGAAAATAGAAGATTTCTGGAAAGAAGGACTTGCAGCAGGGAGACAAACCAGCACAGTTTTCTCATTCTGTGCCCTCCAGTGCGAGAAATTAATGGAATATTTCCTGATATTATTTTGCAAGTGGCTCCTCACGAGGATCTCATCACCACATTCGCAGCAGTTCCGACCACAATAGCACAGCATTCCGAACCCACATCCCAATTACTGCTTCGAATACTGAGGCACTGCTTGCGTACGCAGCTTATACCCTTACCACTCCTCCTCGCTGGGAAGGTTTTAGACGAGTGCAAGAAGGTGTTGTAAGGATTCTCCACAATTATACGAAACGACAACTGGAACTAGAAAAGGGGGCTAAAGGCAGGTCGCACGACGAATTATGCTGCGGAAGGGGAACTTGCACTTCAACAATAAAGGGCGAAACTGTGCCTCTGAGAGCGCGGAATATAGCGCTTTTGCAGCTGATAAACGTGCACACCGCGTAGCAACTTAACAAAGGTTCACCTGTCCCTCTAAGTACTTTCGGGCCATTTGCCCGTCTCCGATCGCTGCTAACCCCTGACCGGTTGGACCCTTCTAGTAGGGTGGGGGGTTCACTTGACTCGCACTTAACTCGTTCGCGTCGGCTTGCAACTCGTCCTATGCGGGAAATCAGCGCAAAAACCAAGGGTCCCTAATTCCTCATAAATTCTGCCGCAGTCGCAGTTTGGTTTTTCTTTGGCTCACGTCACCATTCATAATTCTCGGTTTCATTAGTAGTAGCGGCTAACTTGGCGTATCATCTGCCTTTAAGTAAGACTCAACCACTAGCAAAGAAACTATTGAAATATTGTGTGTACAAATATGCACTACAGTCCACGACAGCAAGATAGTATTCAAACTAAGGTTGTTTCAGTTGCGTTTGTTCGTGCTGAACTGTCTTGGAGAAGGTGGCCTGCTCCTCGTCACATGCTCAGCAACTGGCCGATATTCTCATTTGCTCTGATTACTCGTGAGACCATTACTCCACATAGGGCTGTCCAAATCGGCTGCACAAATCTATGTTCAACGATTTTGCAGAAGATCCACTCTGAGTGATGGTGAGTGATTCAACATAGAAGAAGGTTTGTTTATCAGCGAGTGAATGGTGGCAAGCGGTTCTATGGGGCTCAAGTTGTATGCAATATTACAACCCCCTGAATCTATCTTCTTGTTAGAACTTGGTCTAAATTCGCAGAACAAAAGAACTTTGTTATATTATTAAAAACTAGACACACCGAAATAGTGGGATTTGTGCGAGCGGAAATACGCGGCCTCAAATGTCGCTGTGACTAGCGAGCGTACAGACCCGAGTAGCGGTCACCCTCGCGACTTCACTCTGAGACCGGCTTCACGTCCTTGATCTGCGTCTTCGCTCGTCCCCCCTCCCCCGTCGCTCTTTGCCACGATCGCGATCTGCTCTCCCCAAATTTCAGTCTTCTTGTTTTTCGCCGTAAACTCCAAAAAGTCTAGAACGAAACAATGGAAGAGGGTCCCACGTAAGATAAAATTCATCGCTTTGTTTTGCTTCTTTCGTCAGTGATGGCAGAATAGCACCTGCCCCTATCTTTTCAATTTGAGTCTTACCTCAGTGATCCTATCTCGACATGCATCATCAACACGGGCGGCTGTTTGCTATGATAAATACAGCCTATAGAAAATCAATGGTGACGTGTCATTTGGTGGCTTCAATGAAGGAAAAAGCAAAATGACACTGACGGCCAGAAACGAACGACAAATAGCACCCTCCCTTCCACTAAGTAGGTTTCCTCTTCTCCGACTTTATCGTAGAGTCTCTTTTTTAAAGTTTTCAATTAATGTTGAATGGTAAATGGTTGTTACATGTAAGCTGTACGCAATGCTGGTTGTTTGCTGCATGCTGGTTGTTTGTTGGCAGAGCTTCAAGAAATGTTCTGAATGTTCAGGAGAACCTCTCATTATCAAAGCAGAAGGTGCTCACAGCCTTGGGTAGACGGCTCGCAACCTGCTCGGACCAGTGGTCGGCAATTTTTGTATGAAACTCGCCATACAAAAGGTACATTTGAATGAATTTCCCTACAAAACTCTTCATCAAAATACCTGTTTCTTAGCTGCTAAGCTATTCAAGCAAATTATTCATAGGCAAGGACCCACGGCATCGGATGGGTGGTGGCTAAGAATTCAAATCACTTTGGAATCGCTGGATGGTACGCGGAAAGCGCTCTTCAACAAGGACTCGTGGTGGGTTATGCGCTACTGATCTGCGTAATATGGTCATCCTTCTGAGGACGGTTCACTTCACTAGGTACTACTGCCTTCAATTCTAGAACATCTGACAACGAGCTCACATAATGCATGTACGCAGTTGAACGGGACATTATTTTTGTTTATTTATTCGCTTCTATTCAAGTTATTTCTCACGTATTCTGTTTTGTTTTTGTGTCTACTACAATTACCACAGAGATTTTGTTTCTGTTTTGCTGGACGTTATTGGCACCAGGCAAGGAAAGCTGTCCGTCCCGCCTGCAGGCAAAGAGGGGGGGGGGACGGCTTTTTACTTCATTGACAGAACGGGGTTAAGGTAGTGATCATATGGTTGGAGGGCGGAGCGGTTTTGATGACGTCATTGAACGCCATCAATTGGAAGTGGACCCTTCAGCGCCGGCGGTGTGGCTGGGAGCGTTTCCCCACGCCGCTCCACCATTGCATTCAATGATATCATTAAAACCGCACCCCCTTTCACTGAATCATGATCACTCGCCTTTGAGAGGCTTTCTGCCGCGCCGCAGCACACTAGACACAGGCACTCAAGATCCAGGATCAACCGCGCGTTCGCATTATTCGAACGAGGGGGGCGCATTTGTGGTTGATTTTGGGAAGGGGGTCGCATTCAGGGGTTGAGTGGGATTAGTAATTGGTTGGTGAATGGCGAGGCGATTTAGATTGGTTTTTGAGGGGATTTGGTGGATGTAATTGGCGCGTAGGAAAGGAGAGATAGGTGGGAGGAAGGGAAAATTCTCATTCGTTGCAAGCTAAATCACTCCATCCCGACGCCTTTGGAGGACATCTGTGGACGTAGTTGGTCTGCGTCGACTGGTCTCAGAATCAAATACTATAGAAACAGCCGTTTCTGGCGAGAGTGGTGATTGGGGTAGGAGGATGGTGGTCGTGTTAAGGGAGTCTCATGGTGGTGGTGGGGGTCGCATCGAGACTTCCCTAAAGGAGGGGGGTCGCGAAATTTCTGAAAAGTGCGAACGTCACGGTTGACCCTGCAGATGGCGTGCAAATAAGTAACGAGTTGGACTATGCCAAATGCTTTCCACGTGTATGTCAGCAGATCCATGTCGTCACGGCGGAAGCGACGTCGCGATCTGGATCTGCTGACATACACGTTGCCATCTGGATATGCAAAACTTTGTGGCAATACGCAAATCAGGGGTCTTTGAAATTCGGTTTTCTGCTTTCTTTTCCTTGTTCCATGTAAAACTTATAGACTCAGCAAGCAACATTGCGCGACCACTGTTGCGTTTCTCGTGGCATCGCTTCCCTGCTGTGCTCTCTTCGTCTCCCATGCGTTTCGGGTTTTCTCCTCTCAGGCACATTGCCTCGCCTAGACGTTTTGTTCTTCAAACTTCTCCTACTGACGCAGAAGAAGCAACGGCTTAAAGGCAGCGAATTAGAAATAAATTGCAAGAAGGACTTCAGGTGGTGACGTGGTGGTGCTCAATAGTACGCCACTGGCGAAAAAGCCTGATCCGTCAAAAAAAAAACGCAAAACCCCCTTTTTGGACATTGGATTTCACTCATGAGAAGGTAACAGCTCAGAAAGTGGAGTTTACCGCAACGCGTTTGATGGCACCATGCCAAACCACGCTTCAATCGAGATGCTCCATTTGCGCCGCTGCTGGCAACGCAGCTCGTCCAAATCACCAACTAAACTAGTGGGCGGATTTTGGGGCGGAGCGCTTTCGAAGTCCTGCTCAGCAACCAGCGCACCTTTCGTCGTGAAAGCGCCACATCTCGCTTCCCTGGCAGCCAAGTAACTGATTCGTGTGGTGCATATGCTTCCCCGATGCGCTCCCTCTTTATCGTAATCGCTTCCTTTAATTGAAGACGTTTTTGAGGTTTCCTTTCCTTTTTTCTTCACTGCCACGTTGACCCACATCTGCTGTTTTATAAATATTTAAGCCCCATATTTACACCGCTTGGGCGGAAGTGGTGTAGTGGCAAGTGGCACGCTTACCACGCGAGCGGTCCGGGGATCAAATCCTGGGTCGTGAGTCGCCCGGGCCAACCAAGCCTTCCATCCGGGGTCGGTTAATTGGTACCAGACTTGTCTGGGAGGATAAAAACACTGACTTGACATCGGCTGGCCCCCGCAAGTCATTGTATAGGCCACATCGCATTCAAACGCCACTACGAATGTACAAATGGAAGTAGAATGCGTGCCGCATCCCAAAAAGGGATTGATCAACGGCAAATGCTTTATCCTTTTTTATTTATCTGCTTCACCTATTGCCTTCACACATTATCCTCAGCTGGGTAGAGACGGCGATACATACTTCCAGCTCATGAGCTGTAATCCACAAATTCCGGTTTCTGATTCACTACAAAAATAGAAAACGAAATGATCCTAATTTTAGGGAATGGCATTCACAAATACCTCACCTTGTGTCTTCCCAACGAATTCAGCTGAGAAGAGCCTTGGATCGAACCCAATTTGTCTCGCAGCACCGGCAGCCAATGGGGACTCGTTCTTCCTTGACATGGCATCGACAACAGTCGCTTACGGAAAGGTATAATAATTTTGATCTGTTCGTCGTCTTTGTACTTTGCTATAACACACGAAACAGGAACACAGAGATTCGTATAATATTGAGGGGAGATACGGAATGATTGAAATGTTGACTAACGTGAAAGTTGCGAAGAAAATTCGAAAATAGGCAGAAAAAAATGGAAGCTAAGACAATGGAACATTTGTTGCTCTTTGAAAATTTCCTACTATATGACGAAAGACGCCAAACGCTAATAAGGAAAAGAGATGGTGATTCGTAGTGTGCGTTATAGATGCTTCTCTGAGACGACTAGATCAAATACTGCCTACAATAGAAGATACAGAGCTAGTGAAAAAAAATAGACGAAAGATTAGATTATTGGTTCATAAGATAAGTAAGAGTAAGATGGAACCTAACGAGATTAAAAAGGGTAGAGCTCATTATGAATGAAACTGACAAAGAGACGAAAAAAAAATCGCACACTTACTAATTTCTTTGAAATTTTATAATAAAACAAATATAGAAAAGTAGAATAAAGAAGAGAAACAGACTCTTTGTTTTGCTGAAGAACTTCTTAACACATTCACGACGACGCCCCTTTTCCACTTTTCGGTCGCGTGGGACGGACGCGATTTTGTGGGCGCCGCCGCCTCACCACATAACCGCAGATTTTGTTTTGTAAATGAACAAAAACATGAATGTCACAAAATAATTTCTGCAATGTCCAATGCGTATCTAAACATATAACAGTAGGATTTCGATCAGAACGACAAATAGTGGTTACGAAAAGAGAGCATTTATTCACTTTCCCCGTGAAGGAATTTAAAGCATTTTACACTCGATTACGAGGTTTGCCCACCTATCTGTCCATTCCTAGCGCCTGGCAAGCGATTATCAGTTGGCAGCCCATATGGGCGGCCATCGGCGTGAATGTGTTAATATCCTAACTTTACCACTGCCGCACTCTTGCGTACGCAACGCCATGCATTTTCTCGCCGAAAGATTTGCCTATCGCTCTCAGGAAGTCAAACTATGCCTTGAGTAAAATTTCTAGCCATATCGAAAATTTGACTCCTACATCGAAAAGTGTGGGCAACCATGGGTAATATAGCTTGCCTAGTAGCTGGTGCCTTCTACATTACCCACGCGTACAAATTTTGTGGGCAAGAAAATTCTGATCATTGAAGCCCATGTATAGGGACAATAGAAGGTCCCTATCATGAAAATAACCTCCATTTTCAGCGCGCATTTTTCGATAGAACCTCTTCCTGACAATGACTGCTGCTCAGGGCTACCAAGTCCCAGCTTTTTCCAAGTTAAGATGAATTTCACAAGCTTCCAGATGAAGTTAGACTTCCGAACACCAATATCACACTTGCTGGATGCCGAAAACGCCTAGTGAGTGCGTGATGGAGCTAGTTCTTGAGTCCTCTTTAGGACCACCCACCCGTGCACTGGTTCCTCAGGGGAGGAAGAAGCAGGGGTCTTTATGCCAAATGATTGTGAGACCTTTCCTCAACACACTACTCTAACCCTGTTTACAGATTTCCAGCAAATTCAGAGGTTTAACTTGGTTGGTGTGTAGAAGAAAGGAGGTTCAGAGCAAACGCAATGGACATACTTCAGAAAAAATGCATGATACTCCACGCTCCAAGGACCCAAACTCTTGGCCTTGCAGAGACGAAACCGGCACCGTACCCACTAGGCCACCGGTCCACATCCAAGCTGTGCATGCATATCGTATTCGTGCTGAAGTTGGGTCTGCTCCGTATCACAACAAGCTTTGTAGCTTTGTTCAGAGAATCGTTCAGCAGATATGGAATGCAGATTTGAGGTCCGCGTTCAAAGATCTCTGAGGTGATATACATCTCATTTCAAATGGCCACTTCGACCTACCATTCTTCCCTTGTAAGAAGGAGGCCACTCGGAGGTTTCGTTCTTGATAGCCAACACCGTGCCAATAGACATCATGCTTCGATGGACAATGTATTACTAATTTTATTTTTTATTTTACCATATTCTATTTATTACATTATTCATCACATATTCGTATTATTTACGCAGGAAAGTTAGAAGGCATGAGCGCCTGTATAGAGTGCTTATTAAAATCGAAAAATGAACGGGCCACCAGCAAAGCACGGGTGGGCAAAGCGATTTTGAGATGTTACGGTTTCCAGGCTCAAAGCCTTATGCACTGCAGCTATTATAGCTCATCGTTCGCCGCCGAAACTCTCCACCTTGACTTCTTTGCCGCCTAACTACTGCTTCCAGTGTTACATATGTTTCTCCGTTGCGCCCACTCCATCGCAATCACAGCCTTTGAGGCAAATATGACCTAGCTGCTGTGACCAAAATGAAGCTTCACTTGCTTAATCAGTCCAGCAGTACTCAGTGTGAAACATGCCTAAGTAATTCAATCCAGTCCGGTGGTGTGGTAGGCCTAATCACAAGCAAATTGGATGTGTGGCTTTCACGGCTCCCAATGTATAGCAAGAGCTTGGATCGCTCCTAACAGGGTGAATATCGCTTGAGGATTCCTCAACGGCACGTCGAGGATTCTCTGCCCGATCAGACACGATCTCTCGCGCGGACATTCACACTCGCCATGCGCGTGCCGTCTGTGCTCTCCGCGCGGATGTTCACTCTCGGCACTACTCTCGCATGGTAGAGAGCTATGGTCGAGGAAATCCTCGACCGTTATTCACCCTGCTGCTAACCATAAACCCACTTCCCACCCGCAAAGACGTAATTATAATTAACATATGCCAATAAGAAAGAAAGAAGATGTAGTGAAAAGAAAATAGGTCAAACAAGAAGTGGTTCGT